CCGGCCCATATTATTCTCTGAGACAAGGTATCACTAAATTTCCCAGACTGGCCTTGAACTGAGTAGCTAGAATTACAGATGTGCACTGTCCTGCCAGCCTCATTATTACTGGACCACGGATAACTGAAACTGTGAAAGTGAGACCAAGGATAAGGAGGCGGCTGCAGACTTTCTCAGTTCCCTCTTCTGTAAATGAGATAATAAGACCCATATGGTTGGGTTTATTTATAAAGTGCTTAGCACGCTCCAAAGGCTGAGGCAGGAGGATGGCTTGAGCCCAGAGGTTAGAAGCCTGTGTGGATAACACGGAAAGACCCAATCTCTAAAAGATAAAGTTAGACATGGTGGCACACACCTATAATCCCAGCACTGGGAAGGCTAAGGCAGGAGTATCACTGTGAGTTTGAGGCCAGCCTGGGCTACACGGTGAGACCATGTGTCAACAAAATAATAATAATGATCACGTTCGTCATGGAGGGTCGGTAATAATACATCTTGATACTTGTTATGTGTCCTTAGACTCTAATCTCTTTAAGAAGAATTGTGTCTGCCTTGGTTACTTTCTGTACTTGCTGGGACAAAATTCCTGACACCCCGAAGTTAAAGGAAGCAGGGTTTATTTTAGCTCAGTTTGTAGAGGTTCAGTCCATAGTCAGCTGGCTCCGAGGCACAGTGGGGATGGCAGAGAGAAACAGTCCATGGCAGGGTAGGCCGGAAGTAGCCGCCCTCCTTCCATGCAGGCTGCAAACCTATTGGTTGTTGCCACCCACACCTGGGGTGGGGCTTCCCTCTTAGTAAATCCATTCAGCCACACCCAGAACTGTGCTAAATCAGTCAGTGGACCAATCCACTACCACACACCCAAGGTCCAAAGTCACACACTCATCACCTGGTCTCTTCCAATAGCCCGACCTATACTGCATGAGGCTCTGGGGGACCTCTAGGTAGGAGTCATAAGTGTCCTTCTATCAGGCAGTGACCAGGCAGCAGAAAAAAAGCATCTTTCATACAAGGTCATCTGAGAAGAGTTTAACAAGCCTGTCACAGTGGTGGCTGAAAAGCCAGCCCAGGAATCTGGGGTGTCTGGCTGGGAGTTTCGCGACTGCATGCTGTGAAATGTCCTGCACTTTCCCGTCTTGAGGAGGGTTGGGCGCAGTTGCAAACAGGAGGCCCCAGAAGCTGGGAGAAGCAGCACCAGCTCAGCTCCAGGAGCAGCACAGGGCTGGGGACATGGAGAGCGAAGCGATGGGTCAGAGCCCTGGGGCTGCCGGGAGCGGGGATCTTCCTCAGACATAGAGCAGGGAGGAGAGGGAGGTGAGGATGGAGGAGGCATCCCTGGCCTCACAGTGCCTGGGTCCAAGCATTCAAAACACATCAAAATATCAGTTACAACCCTGTGATCCCAGTACTTTGGAGGCTGAAGCAGGATGATTACTGTGAGTTTGAGTCCAGCCTGAACTACATTGTGAGACCCTGTCTCAAAATAAAAACAAAGAAATGATCTGCAATCATCTAAGTCTCACCTTCACGACTGTGGCTACATTCAGTAGCATGTGCTTACCAAATGTATCTAAATAGACTCTTTTTTTGAGATAGGGTCTTGCTATGTTGTTCAGACTGGTCTTGAACTCACTATGTAGCCCAGGCTGGCTTCAAACACATAGCAATCCTCCTGCCTCAGCCTCCTGAGTGCTTGGATCACAGGCGTGCGCTATCACACCTGGTGACTCTCTATTTCAAGTAAGTGAAACATTTTTAACGCTATGTTAATAAGAATTGTGATGCAAACAAGGGAAAGGACAGGTAATGACAAGTGCTGGGGAGCTGAGGAGTGACTGGGATGCGCTCTCTGAACCAGAAAGTGAAGCACCACAGGCCTTTGGAAAATAGTCTGGTGATTCTCAGGATAAACAGTTACCGTATGACTCAGGAATTCAATCCGCCATCCTCTAAAACACGTGAAAATACATCTCCACACAAAAACACTGTGGACACGCAGCATTATTCAGAATAGCAAAGCTCGGGATTTAGCTTGGGATTTAGCTCGGGTTCCGCCGCCTGCCTAGCAAGCACAAGGTCCTGAGATCAATCCCAGGTACCCCCCCAAAAAAAAAGAACAGCAAAAAAAAGCAAGAATCATCCAAAAGCCCATTCATAAATGAGTGGAAAAATAAAACATGGTGGAATATTATGCAAGCATGAAAAGGAGTAAAGCTATGATCCATGCTATGACATGGATAAATCTCAGAAACAGGCTGAGTGAAAGAAGCCAGACTTACAAGGCCATGTGTTGCAGTGCTCCATTCACAGGACTAGCAAATCCATAGAGACAGAGAGGGGATACGTGTGTAGTTAGCGATGAGGCAAGGGAGAAAGGAAAGTGACTACTAATGATTACTATTAAGGTTTTGGGGGGGAGGTTTAATGAAAATGTTCAGTGATTTCTTTGTGGTGGCACAAGCTTGTGATTCCACTACTTGGGAAGCTGAGGCAGGAGGATTGCTCTGAGTTAGAGGGCAGCCTGGGACACACGGTGAGTTCACAGCCAGTCTGAACTACAAAGTGGGACCCTGTTTCAAAAAAACAAAAGAAAAACATTACAGGGATCTATGGTTACACAACCTTGTAAACACATGAAGAACCATTGGACTGTTCATGGGAAAAGGCAGAGCCCAGAGCCGCACACAGGCTGGGCAAGTGCTCTGCCGCTGAGCACACCCGGCCCTTGTCCTTTTAAACATCCTCCTAGATGTGAAGCCCTAGAACATCACCACTGTTACTCACCTAGGGTTAAAAATGTTTCAGTTAGCTGTGTGTTGTGGTGCACACCTGTGATCTCACACTTGGGAAGCTGGGGGAAAAGGATCACTACAAGTTCAGGGCTGGCCTGGGCTACATAGAAAGACCTTGAAAGTGCAAGGTCCTGAGCTTGATCTACAGTACAAAACGAAAAACAAACAAAAATGTTTTAATTAAGTGAAACAGAGTAACTGGATGTGGTGGTGCAGGCCTGTGATTCCAGCACTTGGGAGGCTGAGGCGGGGGGGTCACTGTGAATTCGAGGCCAATGAAGGCTATATAGTGAGTTCAAGTCCAGTCTGAACTACACAGTGAGAACTTGTCTCAAAAAAAATCACGTGATATATATCTAAAAAAAAATTAATTCCTTCTCTCCCCAGTGATTGATAGGGTATAACATAATCAAATAAATCAAATCCAACTAAATTCAAATCCCTTTTTTTTTCCAGTACCTGAATTGAACCCAGGGCCTTCAGATTCAGCCCTCCTGAGTCTAGGCTGGCCTTGAATTTGTGGCAATTTTTCTGTTTCTTGAGGCCAGGGATTTAGCTCAGTGGTGCCGCTGCCTATCCCCAGTATCCCCCCCCCCAAAAAAAAAGAAAAAAGAAAAAATTCCTCCTTTGGCCTCCCAAGTTCTAGGATTACAAGCATATACCCCTACAATACAGGCCTTCTTTCATTTATTTTGAGACAGGGGTTCACCAAGTCCCTACAGTTTCCAGGCTGGGCTCAAACACTTGTCATTTTCCTGCCTCAGCCTCCCAGAGTGCTGAGATTGCAGCATGCGCCACAACCACAATGCCCAGCTATTTTTCTTCCCCTTATTTGTTTTGTTTTGTTGTTATTGTTGTTTTTTTTTAAAGCAGGCGAGGTGTCACTTCGCTAAATCCCCCCCCCCACCTTCCTTTCCCTTCTCAAAGGAATCCCCACCCCATCCCTTCCCAGACCCAGGCACAGGCTGCAGATTGTCCCCTGGCTCCTAATCTCAGCTGACTGGGGCTTCAGGGCAGGGCAGACTTCCCGAGAGTGTTCATGTTCAGGTGAGTTCCACCTCCTCCCTCAAAGATGCAGCCTGTAATTCCAGCAACTGGGAAGGCTGAGGCAGAAAGATCACAAGTTCAAGACCAGCCTGGACAAGTTAACAAGGCCCTGACACAAACTAGTAAATAGAAAGAGCTGCGGATGCAGCTCAGTGGCGGAGCGCTCCCCTCTAAAGCAGAAGGCCCTGAATTCAATCCCCGGTACCGCAGCAACAGCAACAACCGTCGCTTTTGCGGGTTTTGCCTGGGCAGCGGGCAGGGCGGATGCTGGGCTCCGCTCGCTGGGTTCGCCGGCGGGGTGCGCTCGGGGCG